GTAGGAGCTACCATAAATACAAAAGAATGCTTATTTGTCGACTGAGTTTGAAATTAATAACAATTGTCACCTTATGACTCTTTAAATATTTCTAATCACACAAATAACTGGCATAAGAAATTTCTCTACTGTTTTTCAGATGCCTGGAATCGCCTTCCCTTTTTCCACTATTTGTCTCTTGCCTTACACATCACAACTTTTAGCGGTATTCCACAGTGAACCAAAATCAATGTCATTTAAACCTTGCAATTTCCAGGAAGTGTCACTCTTGTTTCGTCAGAGTCATAATTTGCAATTTTTATATAGTGAATACCTAACATTGTTTTCCAGGCTTGCAATAAAATGTACCGAGTAAAGTTGCTATATTCTTAGCAGTACTTTTGCCACGTTCTTTACACTGATCTAAGTAGTTAAAAACTGTAAAATTACGCTTTTGGATGTCATAAACTCTCAACTTATGCATTACGTACAACTATAAATATATGTTGGTTCAGCTATTGTAAAGAAATGCTTTAAATCGCAAACTGCAAATCTTTATTATTGCTTAGACACAATAATATTTTTAGCATACAGTTTATTCTATCTCAACTTTTAAAGAACCGATTTGCATCACAAAGTATGTTATATTTAGAAATCACATAAACTATAAATCAAGAAGTTAAAACAGCATGAGAATCAAGACTTTTACATATATGTGTCACCAAATTGCAGCGTCCCACATTATAATCAAGATTAATCGAAAAACAGTCTAATTAAGTACCATCTTCAAGTAAAGCGTAAGAGGACGCTGGGAACATTCCTCCTTTGCTATTCACTATTATCTGTCAGTAGGGATCTTTGTAGATTTAAAAAAAAGGCAAGAAAAGGAAATATAGAGTAGAGCAATTGAATTGCGTAGAAATTCTTGATAAGAATATATAAAAGTCTTAAAACTGAACAACAACAGCATCTTATTTATGAGTCACAGCACAGTGAAATGATGAGCCAAATCAAAGTTTATCCTTTGACTGACAGTCGTTTGACTGAAATCAAACAATCAGCCGATAAAGTTGAGATATAACAACATAACGATGACTTGATGCGATCAAATTATCATCAAACTGTACTCGAAAAATACCAAAGTAGCCTTCTGCAATAATAAAAACAATTATATCATAATAAAAACATTTTTGAAAAGTTATCTCTTAATTGCTTCATTTTAATGTTCACTTTTCAAAATTAAGAACCTGCTTAGTTCACAGGTTGACAGTAACAGCAATTCTTTCTTTACTTTACAACGTTCTGATGTTTATCACGAAATCAATTCAAATTATGAATGGAGCAGTTAGATTTGACAAAATTTACTAAATATGTTATTTCCATTTCATTCATCAAATTTCAGTTTGTTTCGCATTATTCATTTCAAATCCAAATATTTCCAAAAATGTTGCACATTAAATGAAGCAAGAAAACCGACATATGGATAAAAAATCAAATTCATGTAAATGTGGCTCTGTTGAAAGAGTCCATCTGCTTGAAATAAAGTTGCTTTTAATTAAACGGTAATGCAATGAGAAATGTGAAATAAGGCCCGGCATCACAAATTCAAATCCTCACATAAACAGTATTGAAGACAAATTGTTTAATAAAGCTAAAACATGAAATTCAAACTAGCAACAAACATTTCGGAACCAAACTGCAAAGAAAGCTTTTATGGTCAGATTAGTTTTTTTATAATAAAAAATCGCATAATTACGATGAATAATTAAATTGAGAGTCCTTCTTGGCATTTTTTTCGCTTAAATTTACCTAAGATATAATTGCATGGTAGATATGCTATAAAAATTTAATAACACGAGTATCAAACAACATTAAATTCTAAATATGGAAAATTATCCTCTTTTGCTTGCGCGAAATACTCATTTAGAATCAAAGTCGCGAAACGTCGCTGTGTTCAAGCAAAAATAAATATGACAAGATTCACTTCAGTAGGAGCACATGTTGTAAACAAGCAACAAACAGGATATGAAATGAGTTTAACACAAAGCTTGAGTACTAGCAGTAATGAACTAAGAAAAACAAGATAGAGTAAAGCTTAACTAACACATATCAAGCATATTTTGGGCTCTATAAACTGTTATAAAATTAAAATGAATTAGAAATTATGAATATTCTTCAATCTTGTTTTCCAAATTTAGCATTTAGATAGTTTTTTTTTCTTACTTTCCATTATCGTTTAAGCAGTACAGTTTGCAAATTATACGACAACAGACATACATGAAGTGAAATTACTCTTCAACAGAGAATTCCATCAAATAATTATGAACAAATTTGACCGAAAAACAACAAACTTACAAGAAAGTTTTTAACTTCCATTTTTAAATAAATTGCTCAACTTATCTTGAAAATAGAAGATAAAACGGCGCTGAATGATGATCAACAAGAAGACAATTTTTGCATATCGTAGCGAAGCAAATATCATGAAAAGAAAATTAAATACAACATAATAATGGATAAACATGATGACTGTGAAGCGTACATCTGATTCGCTGAATTTATCTTTCCTGCAATTAAAATAAGATTAAAAGTTCCCAAATTAAATTAGTCTGATTGAGGAAATCTTTAAAGATAGAATTAACTTCATATCAAGCAAAAATTTTACCACGTCATCTCATGTATTTGCAATCAGGAGGTTATGAACTGACTAGCAACTAAATTTTTTCTTTTATGAAATAAACAGATATAAAATGCAAAGTATTATTAGATGAGTACAGCAAAAAGGAATGCAGTTGTAAATAAAAACGAAACAGTGAATGAAAGGCATATTTTGCCTAAAAATATCGTACAGTGCTATCATCATTAAGTTAAAGCACCCAAAAAATCATTTAAAACTATTTTAAGAGATGACGAATGCATACGCAAATTAATCCCAGTAGAAAGTTCAAGAAACATCACGCAGTATGCACGTACTTAAATGATCTTAAACATTTCAACAATACTAGTAAGTGCACAACTTACTATCATTGCTGGAATTTTTATCCAAAAGCAAATTGTAAATAATGATGAATTGAATTTACTTACTGTTAGTGACATTTTCAAGTGGGGGCGTTTTCATTGTAACATAAGATCGAGCTAAAGAGCCCCATCCTAATTTATTTCGTGCTTTCACTTGTAATTCATATTCTACGTCCGGTCGTAGCCACACTAAATCTTCACTTCGGCTCCATATATCACCATCTTGCTCCTCTAAATAACTGTTCCGTATGTCACTCCGACAGTAATTTAAATTTATATTTCGAATCTTTAGAAAAAAGAGCCAAAATTGAAAAATATATTTCACTACTTTTCAACCTCTTCAGAAACTTAATATTTTTTTCATCAGTTTCTGGAGAATTCTTATGCACTCGGTTTTAATGAATCAGAATTGAAAGATTTATAAATTTCGACATTGGAATCAAAAAATTCCGAGATCGATTTTGAGGGAGTTTCATTTGAGTCTAACAAATACTTCTCACGCTTTACAGTATTACAGGTTAGTAGTAATCTGAGATTCATTTTCTACCTTTATTTGCTCTAATAGACTTAAACTGCTGCCACGTATCGTCGCTAGAAAACCGATATAAAATTTGGTACTCGATTACTGGATCTACTGAGTGTACGTGCCAGGATAGTTGTGTTCCGCTGACGTTCAAATGAGGTGGTCCAGGTCGACCTGTAATTAATTTTTTCACCATAAAATTTAAGATCACATCTCAATAAAAAGCATGAATGCTAGCGATAACGTCCAACCTCGTCATACGAATCGATTACAGAATAAAACAAAAACATGAAAAATAAAAATACTTGGAATTTTCAGAGATTTAAATAAAAGTCATTTAAATCATATCAAATACTTCTCAAAAAAAAAAAAAA